TGGGTGGGTGGATGGGTGGGTGGATAGAGAAGTAGATTTGATAGAAAGATGGATAGACGGATGGATGGACACAAAGTAGATTGGAAACAGGTAGACAGGGCAGCCATGTTCTGTGTGGTGACAGGCAGCAGATGGTGGATAGATGACGGAGACATGGATACACAGATATAGGGAGAGAAACAGAAGCTGGACAGACAAGGCCTGGAGAGACACATGAGAGATGGATGGCAGATAGGGACACGGATGCGATCGTGGCTGGCAGGTGATGGAAACCCAACAGGGAATCGGGCGTGGGGATCCACCCCTGCCTTCTCAGCTCTCTGGGAGGCTGAGGCAGGAGGATCACAACTTGGAGCTCAACCTGGGTGATGTAGTGGTTCGGGGAGACCCTCTGTCAAAGTAAAATTGAAAAAAGGGGCCTAGGACAGAGCTCCATGCCAAGGCCCTGGGTTCAAACTTCAGTTTGGCAAAAAAAAAAAAAAAGGAAATACGTGCAGAATAACCGGTGCACGAGAGGTAGAAGGAGGTGACAGCCACCCAGAGGGCATGAGGACTGACGGGCAGCGGTGGTGGATGCCTGGCCGGGTCCCTATGAACCGTCCAGGAGGCCTGGGACCAGACGGGGACAAAGTAGCAGCCAGGGACCCTCCTGCCTCAGCCTCCCGGGCTGTCTGTGCGCAGGAGAACGGGAGAGGGTGAGGCTCACCGGGCCTGCAGGCGGCGGCCACCCTCCGCAGGAGCTGTTGTGCGGCGCTGCCCGTCCAGTCAGGCAGGGCCGGGGCCAGGATGTAGAGCTCGGCCTCGGGGAACGGGTCCCAGAGGACGTCGCCTGTGGGCACAGGAACGGGGTGTGGAGGTGGCAGACAGAGGCCACGCGGCCGGGCCGGGAGGGGATGGCGGGAGGGAGGAACAGATGCACACGGACACCCACCGGGAGACAGCGTGTGGGCGTAGACAGGTGGGCTCACACTGCACACAGACCAGCACGTGCTCACACACACCACACGCGTGCAGACACACGCACACCCTGCACACACTGCTGTGTGCACGCAGACACACGGAGGTACACAGGCAAGGGCACGCAGAGTCACGTACACGCACGCGCACACACACGGGCAGTGGGCTCCTGCACACACACACAATCTGCATCTAAAGCCTTTCGCAGGCCCAGAAAACATTAACACACAGCAGAGGCAGCCTTACCAGGCATGAAGCTGACTTGTGCGGTTTCTGGTCCATGTGGCCGAAATAAGGGTGCCTGCTGGATGATGTGGGGAAGGTCAAACACGGTCACCTTGAGCCGTGGGTACTCCCGGGCCAGCTCGTGGGCCAGGGCGCCTGTGCAGCCTGGGGGAGAACAAATGTACACGCTGTGGGGATACAGGTGCAATGGCCGGCTCTGCTGCAGCCACTCTGGGCCAACAACAGGAGTTGTACATGGTAGGTGGGAAATGTGAGATGGGATCGTAGAAGTCCTAGTTCCCTGATCCCATGACGACCCTTGGGAAGGAGCATGGGGTCTACGCACCTCCCAGGTGGCAGGCAGAGCTGAAACTTGAGAGGTCCATAGCGGTGGCCACCTCGTGCGCGGTCAGCTGGGCCAGCCCGTGTGCAGCCCGGAGGAGGTGCTGCTGGGCCCGCTCGAGCTGAGACAGAGGGAGTCTGAGTGCAGCCGGCGGGCAGCCTGCAGTCTCTGCCCACAGCTGAGGCCGGCCTGGCCCTGCCCTCTCGCTTTCTCCCTCTGGTGCTGTTCTAGCTCTGTCTCCTCTCCCTCTTCCTTTTTCTCTGTACTGTGCGTGGGTCCTGGGGCCCTGGACTGGGAGCTCCATAACCCTGCACCCACTGACCTGTTTCCCCGTGGCTTTGCCCAAACACAAGTCAGGGTGGACGATGTCCAGCATCCTGCTACCTGGACCTGGCTGGGGTCCCCCGGCTTCGTCCCTTCAGCCGGGTGCTGGTGGCTCCGTCCCTCCTTGGCAGTGGACGCCGGATGCATGAAGAGATCCCAGGCATGACCGCCGGTGTGCAGGATATAGCTGTGGAGGGAGTACTCGCCGTGCGACCCGAGGTACATGCCAGCCACCTCTGTGTTCCTGTAACCTGGGACAGCAGGGTGCCCTGTTGTTTCCTGGCGCAGGGCACCCCAGAAAACACGGCTGGAGGGGATGCTGTGGCTGAGCACCGTGGACACCTTAAGCAAGCATCGTCCACCTGACTGTGGCCAACTGTGCCGAGGGAGCTCGGCAGGGACCTGGCGCTGTCAAAGCCCAAGTTACCATGGCAGCTGCCCCCATGACACCAAGTGGCCAAGATGGGTGGGGAGGCTGCTGTGCAGGCGCTGTGCACCACAATCAGGTGCTGAATCTACACCAGGGAGACGGCACCCTGCACGTCTGGGACCCTCCTGCCCGGGAGACTTTGTCCTCCTGCCCCAGACAAGGTGCCCACACAAATGTCCAGGTGCCCTCTGTTGTGAGGACACAGCGAGGGCTCTGTTCAGTCCAGCAATCGTGTGTCACTATGTCCCTCCAGCCACTGACTCATCTATCTGTCCAACCATGCATCCATCCACCCATCTGCTGGTCCATCCACCCACCCATCCACCCACCCATGCACACCTCCATCCATCCATCTACTTATTCACTCATCATCCATCCATCCATCCGTTTTCCATTCATGCATCCATCCATTTATCCACCCACCCACCCAACCATGCATCCATCCACCACCCACCCACCCATCCACCCATCCACCCACCCCACCACGCATCCATCCGCCCATCTATCAATCCATCTCTCCATCCATCTACCTCTTTATCCATCCAGCCACCCACGCATCTGTCCCTCTAACCCTTTATTCATGCCTCCCTTTATCATCCACCCACCCACCATCCTTGGATATCGACAGAAATCAATAACAAATCAAGTGCATGTGCTTTGGTCTTCAGGGCACCTGCAGTGGGAGCTGCCCTCCTGCACAGTGCTCTGCCTCCACCCCAAAAGGAGCTCAGCAGACCCCCACAGTGCGGTCACCTCGCTCCGTCTTCTGCAGCAGGCCCAGGCCCACGCACACATCCAGGAGCCGCCGGGTTCCGCACACGGAGGCCTTCACCTTGCCGGCTACGTCTGAGGCAGTCCGGGCTGCTCCATCTTGCAGGAGGTCAAACACCTTCAGCTTGCATGCAGTGAACAGAGCCTGGGGGAGACGCAGGCGTGGGGAGACCCTGGGGGGATGCAGAGGTGCCTCCGCCCCCCCCCCCAGGAGGACGGGAGTGGCTCCTCCAGGGAGGGCAGCGAAGCTCCGGGGAGAACCGGCATGCACAGGCTAAGAGCACTCAGGGAAAATCAGCAGAAGGAAGCCACGGGCCAGGGAGGAAGTGTGCCCCGCACCCTTGAGTCTGAGCAGCGGCCCTGACCCCGAGACCTGAGTGTGGCTGGGTTTGGACCTGGGCCCTTTTAGTTTTCCTTTTATTTTACTGTTTTGGTTTGGTTTGGTTTGTTGAGACAGGATCTCGCTGTGCAGCCCAGGCTGGCCTGGAACTCACAGTGGTCCTGCCTCAGCCTCCCGGGTGTGGAATGATGGGCGTGCACCACGCCTGGCTGCTTATGCATCTCTGACATCGTCTACCCTCTCACAAATCTGCTAGTGGCACTGGTTTTTTTTTTTAATCCCCAGATAAAATGGGATGTGCTGCTCACATGGCAAAGTGAATGGCTCTAGGGAATGCCAGCACAGAGCAGCTTGGTCTGATACCTTTGGCATGGAGGTGGACACGGTGCTTGTGCAAGGAACACGCAGGAAGCTAGGCGTGGTGCACACGCCTGTCACCCCAGCACTCTGGGAGGCTGAGGCAGGAGGACCGCAAGTCCCAGACCAGCCCGGGCAACTGTGCTTAATAAGACCTTGTGTTAGTTTACAAAAGGGCTGGGGATGGAGCTCAGTGTGAAGGCCCTGGGTTCGATCCCTAGTACCACAAGAGCAGTAGGAGGACAAAGAGGAGGAAGAGAAGGACAGCTGAACTAGGAGGAAGAGGAGCAGGAGGCGGCCTGCACACAGGCTCCCAGTGCACCAGCAGCCTCCGGCCTCCCTTCCTAAACTGGCTGCTCCCTGGTACCTGGGCTGCCTTGAAGCCGTGGACAAGCCGCAGGAGGCTGGCTGGGAACGCGGGCCGGGCGTCCCTGGGTCCACTGCGTGGCTCCAGGTCCACATCCCCATCCCCATGCTTGGGCTCCGGGTCGCTGAGGCCCTCGAAGCTGTCCACGCAGTGGATGGAGTCCTGCTTGGCCTGGGAGCCCAGGTCCTGGTGGCTCGGTGGGCGGTAGAGCTGGGCCAGCTGCTTGCAGAAGCGGTTCAGGGGGAAGCCGACCACGTTGAGGAAGTCGCCGTGCACGGCCTCCACCAGCATACCACCCAGCGCCTGGATGCCGTAGCCGCCCGCCTTGTCCCTGGGGTGAGCACAGACAGGCAGGTGACCATGGGGTGACTCACGGCTCCACCCGGCCCCCAATAATCAGGTCCCAATCATCAACGCATCGCTGCTGATCAGGAGCAAAACGATTAGCAGAGGCATCTTCAGCAAGACAGCTAATTAACCCAAGGGAAGCTGACTGACCCATTCCTGCTCATGATCTGGCTAATTAACATATCCACCCTACCATGAGGAAGCTGATTGGATGCGGTGTTTTCATGATCCAGCGGAGGACCAAATCCCGCTGATCAGAATCCAGCTCATTAATATATCCAGCCAATCAGAACCCAGCTAATTAATATATCCAGCCTATCAGAATCCAGCTAATTAATATATCCAGCCTATCAGAATCCAGCTCATTAATATACCTAGCCTCATTATGGTAAAACTAATTAATATTTCCAGCCTATCAGAATCCAGCTCATTAATATATCCAGCCCCATCATAATCAAGGTAATTAATATATCCAGCATCATTATGATCAAGCTAATTAATGTACCCAGCCTCCCCATGATTCAGCTAATTAACATATCTGGCTCTGTCAGAATCCAACTAATTAAAATACCCAGCCTTATCACAATCGAGCTAATTCACAAATCCAGCCTCATTATAATTGAGCTGATTCAGAACTCCAGCCTGGTCACGATGAAGCCAATTAATGTATCCTGTCTTCTTCTTATTATTATTTTTTGGTACCGGGGATCAAACTCGGGACCTGGCACTTGCGAGGCAGGCGACGGCACCACTGAGCTACATGCCCGGCCCTTTTTAATTTTTGCAGTACTAGGATGGAACTCAAGGCCCCCCGCACTGAGCTCCATGCCCAGCCTTTTCTTAGCTTTTATTCTGAGACAGGGTCTTGCCCCAGCTGGGCTCCCACGTGGGATCCTCCTGCCTCAGCCTCCCAGAGTGCGCGGATTGCAGGTGCACACCACCGTGCCTGGCTAGCATTGTACTGCTGACGAATAAATTGACGTATTTCTCCATTTTCCCAGGTGTGGGACTTGGCGCCTCGCACATGCTGGGCTCTGGCTCTGCTGCCGAGCTACACCCGCTCCTGGGCGCGCTCATGACTTTGGGTTTTTCCAACCTGTTGCGGGCTGATCAGGACAGAACCCCAGGGAGAACGCAATCTCCGCTTGCCTGCCAGGCGGCGCCCGCCTGCCGGCTCTGCTGTGTCGGGCCCACGGTCGTCTTGCTTTAGACACAGCCACACGTGCTTCCGTCAGGACGTGGGACTCACCTCATCACTCAGAGCTCCGCAGCAGTGCACATCCACTGCTGTTCAAGGCCACCGTGAGCGCCGTGACCTGGAACCGTGTCCCCCCGTCCGACAACTTGTACCCTTAGACCGACACCCCCTGTTCTCCCTCCTCAGCCTCAGAGCCTATCCTGCTATTTCTCTCACAGCGAAGTTTCTAGGCCTCCAGAAGTGCAATTCGGTGGCGTTTTATGAGCCTGGCTTATTTGGCTGAGCGTAATGTTCTCCGGTTCCTCCTATGCTGTGACGAATGGGAGCCCATCCTTTTTCAGGGCTGAATAGTACTCCAGGACCCTGGTCCGGGACACTCACATGGGCTCCCCACTGTGGATGTACTCCCACAGCATCTCCTCCGACAGCTCTGAGAACTTCACCCGTGTCTCCTCGTAGAACTCCGAGACTTCCGTTTCCAGCTGACCATCTGTAAGGACAGAGGTCAGGGTCAAGGTCATGGCTACCTCCCTTCCTGGTATCTGCGAAGCTGCTTTTTTTTTTTTTTTTTTTTACGTGTTTTTTGAGACAGGGTCTGTAGTTCAGGCTGGCTTTGAACCCACTGTGTAGCCCAGGTTGGCCTCAAACTCGTGGGCAATCCTCCTGCCTCAGCCTCCTGAACGCCAGGATGACAGGCGTGGGCTACCACACTCAGCTATGGATTATTTTAGACAAAAGGAATCTGAACGGGATGCCCCACCTGCGTTTCAGGTTGAACCGGACGCCCCAAAATCCATGACCAAGCAGGACCCCTGGATGGGACCTGGTTGGAATTAGTGGAAGATACGGCGATGAGACCATCCTGCCTCAGCCTGCTGAATCCAACGGCAGCGTTCTCGAGAGACTGAAGGGGCGACAGACGCAGAGGGGAAGCTGTACGGATACTTGGGAGGCTGAGGCAGGAGGCTCACGGCCAGTTCGAGGCCAGCCTGGGCTACACAGCGAGACAAGACATGCCGGTAATAACGAGACAAATCCAGTCCCTTCGCACTGGGGCGCACAGGAAGACGCGAGGCTGTGGATCGAGTTTCGCACGCATGCGCTCCTCCCCCGCCCAGGGTCTCAGCCCTCGGCGGGGGTCAGGCTGGACCCGTGCACGCGCATGCGCGCGCGCCCACCCGCCCGGGGAGGACAGGAGAAGGCGGTCACCTCGGCTGTCGCAGAGCACGACGCAGACGCCCGTGAACACGCTGTGCTGCTTCCCGCTCAACCTGCAACACAGCACGGACTTCCGCTGTCCCGGCCCCGCCCACCACCGCAGAGCCCCACGCTTCCCTCGGTCGCTCTAAGTCCCTAAATTGCCCGGGCTGGCCTCGAACCTGCAACTCTCCTGCCTCACCCTCCCAGAGCGCTGGGATCACAGGCGTGCACCGCACTGAGCTCTAGGGGAGTTTCCAAGATCCCAGAATCCCTAGCCACAAAGACCCAGGCCAGGCGCCCACCTGGACAGCATGCGGTAGGCGTCTTGCTTGTCCACGGGTTTCTCCAGAATCAGCCCCTCGACCGCCTGAGGGAGACGAGGGATCAGGGGCAGCTCCGGCGGCCGAGCCCTGTCTGCCACCGTTCACTCTTTGAGATGCGTTTCTTCAGCTGAAAGGAAACGGCTGCAACCTGAACTTCCCAAGGACAGCGGGAGCCGCGCATCCCTGGCGTTGGGCCAGCAACATCCTCTCCCCGCCAAAGGACCCTGTCCCCAGCAGCAGTCACTTCTCATTCCCCTTCCCCAGGTGACCGCGAAGCCACTTTCTAGCTGTGTAACGTTGCCTGTTCCATGTGTTTCACATCAATGGGACCCCACCCTCTGTGGTCTTTGGTGCCTGGTTTCTCATTCCACCCCTCTTCCTCAAGCTCCATCCACGTTTTAGGAGATGCCAGGACCCCACCCCCCCAAACCCCACTCCTTTTTCACGGCTGCGTAATATTCCACCCTGCAGACGGACTGCACTCTGCTCATCCAGCCAGCCATCACTGGACACTGGGGTCATTTCTGTCCTGTGGCGGCTATGAAACCGGCTGCTGTGAACACCCGGCGCAAGTTTTTGTTTGAATGCCCATCTCCAATACTGCCGGGCACATGCCTCACAGAGGATCGGTCAGTTTGGTTGGGATGGGCTGCGGTCTGGGCCTTGGTCCCCCAAGGCCATGTGGGGAAAGGCTTGGTCTCCCTCCTGGAGCTACCGGAGCCGGTGGGGCCTTTCAGAGGTGGGGCTAAGTGGGAGGAAGTGAGGTCATGGGGCGGTGCTGGGAGCGATGCTACACAATTTTAGGGAAAAACCTAGTTCCTCTGCCTACAGGTCAGCTGTGGCATTTCGAGACCTAATTCTACTTTGGCCTCTGGTCACAACTCAGACCTCGATGATCCGGTGATGTGGTGACGCTCCAGGACAGGATGACACCAGCTGAAGACCTCCTGGGAGGAACCAAATCCGCATCTACTCGGTTCCTCATTGTTCATGCACTGTTACACTTGTTTCTCCCGATGTACTGAATAAAAGGTGCGTTCTTTGCTGCCCAGAACAGCACGGATCAGGCCCAAAGCTCAGCTTCTTCTCAGAGTCTTGCTTTTCTACCTTTCCTGCATAATAAGTTAATTTGCCTTGTGCTGCCGTGGCTCGCAGGAGACCAGGGCTCACTGCAGAGGTTCTGGTAACGTCCCCTGTCCCTGTGCCCTACAGGGCGGGGCCCAGGAGGAAGTGAGGTCACTGGGGGCGTGGCCTGGAAGAGTATATTAGAACCCTGGGCTCTCTTCTCTCCCTGCTTCCTGGTCACCATGATGCGAGCATCTTTCCTCCCCGAGCTCCGTCTGCCATGATGTTCTGCCTTGAACATGGACTGAACCCTCTGAGACCAGAAGCCCAGGAAACCTCTACTCTTTACAACTTGGCAATGTCAGGGTTCCGTCACAGAGACGGAAAGCCCACCAACACGGCTGCCGTGTACATGGAAGCCTGGTCCCTTTACCCAACTGACAGAAGGAGGCCCAGCATGGGCAGCATCAGCTCCTCCGAGGCCTCGGCCCTGGGCTCCCTGTGTCCTCACACGCGCGTCCCTCTGTGTGTGTCCGCGTCCTCCCGTCCCTTCTCAGGAGGACCCAGCCCTGTGCGGTCGGGGCCACCCTGAGGACTCAGTTTACCTTCAGGGCTCTTTAAGGCCCCGGCTCCACACAGTTATGTTGGGCCCTGCGGTGAGGACTTGACAGTTTCCTGTAACAGGTGAACACCGGGGTCATGAGGAAATAGCTATTTTGTAAAAACTGGATTGTTCAGTTTTGTTTGCTTTTGAGACAGGGTCTCGCTATGCAGTCCGGACCAGCCCTGAGCTCACTGTGGAGCCCAGGGTGGCCTCCAACTCGCAGCGATCCTCCTGCCTCAGCCTCCCGAGTGCTGGGATGACAGGCGTGCACCACCAGACCCTGCAGAAAACACATTTATCACGGACCAGGCCCTAAACTAGGAGGCAACCGATGGCAAAGACGGCAAAGACGTGGACAGCCCAGCCCTGGATGTCACCAGGTCACCCGACCTGAAAGCGTAGAAGCCCTCTGGGGAGGCCGGGGGACTCACCACGATGGTGTCCGCCCCGATGACCAGGTCGGGGGCCTGCAGGTCCTTCTGCAGGAGAGAAAGCGCAGTCAGGCGCGGTGCCGCTGGTCTCCCGGGGCATCTGCATGTCCCTCGCCAGCTCTGCGGCCGTGGAGCCCTTCCTAGCCTTCCCCTCGTCTCGGGGTGGCGGCCCTGGGGCTCCAGCTAAGGGAGGTTTGGGCCCCAGGTCGTCCCCAAGTCAAGGCCCAAAGGTCTCTGATTCACTCAGTGTGACTTGAGGAAAAGGTGAGAAAGACAGAAGAAATCCCAGTGGGCATTTCCACCGTGGGCCTGCAATCCCAGCTCTCAGGAGGCTGAGGCAGGAGGATCTCCATGAGTTTGAGGCCAGCCTGGGCTACACAGTGAGTTCAAGGCCAGCACGGAGTGCATAGTGAGACCCTGTCTCAAAAATGGAAGAAAGTGTGCCGGGGAATTAGCTCAGTGGTTCTGCCGCCTGCCTCGCAAGCTCAAGGACCTGAGTTCGATCCCCGGTACCAAAAAAAGAAAAAGAAAATTTCATTTTGGGGATGAACGTACTTGTGTGAAGTTTGTACACAACCTTGACTTGTGCTTACATACTAACATTACTCATTTTCCCACCAGCAGAAATCTAACACTGCCACCCACACGCATTTCTTTCTGATGACAGCATTAGCTGAAATGTATTTGTTAGACTAATTGCGAAGTATGCTGCAGGTAGCACACAGCGACAGGTAGGCTGTGCTAACTGCACATACAGGTCACACTGGGTTAACCACGCAGCACGTTACGCAGAGCTGGGTACTCGTTCTGTATCTGACACGGTCACATTTATCAACTGCGGCAGTACATTACGCCGTGACACACAGCAATGATGTAGCAAATGAGCTATATCAGTCCTATATCTTAAGTGACTGCCATGTTCACTGTGATAGTACATTATTTAGTAGCATACAGTGACTTGGTACCACACAGTAGTAGAGAAGCCTCATAAATCCTTTTTCCCCTCTTTCTATTTTTTTAAACTTTTACCTATTTTTTTCAGCACCAGAAATCGAACTCAGGACCTTGCACTTGCCAGGCAGGTGTGGCGCCACTGCGCTACATCCCTGGCCCTTTTTCCTTCTTTTCATGGTACTGGAGATTGAACCCAGGGCCTTCACACTAAGCTACATCCCCAGCCCAGCCCTTTTTAGTTTTATTTTTTTGGTACCGGGGATCGAACTCAGGACCTTGCACTTTCAAGGCAGGCGGGGAATCACTGAGCTACATCCCCAGCCTGGCCCTTTTTAGTTTTTATTTTGAGAGGCTCTTGCTAAGTCGCTGAGCTCCCCGGGCTGGGTTTGAGCTTGCGATCCTCCTGCCTCAGCCTCCCGGGGTGCTGGGATGAGAGGCATGCGCACCACGCTGGGGTGCTGCGTAACCACCCTACTGCGACAGTGCTGTGCATTCGTGGCATCGTGTATCACGGGGAGCACAGAGCATGCACGAAGGCCCTCGAGCGAGATATTAACTGCAAGGCGTCCACCCTCTCAGAGGCCTGGGGCTGCGCCCCTCCCGCGAGCGCGTGTGCCAGGTTAGTGTGCATGGCGTGTGCCGCGGGCGCAGGCAGGGACGGGCGTGTACTCGCCTGGTGCAGCCTGGTGGCCACCTCCAGCGCCTTCTGCTTGGCCGTCTCCATGGCGTAGGCGTAGGGGCTGGGGAAGGACGATTTGCTCAGCGTCTCCTTGAAGCGGGACGGAACCACCTCGAACCTGAGACCCTGGGAGGCAGCATCAGAGGGGAGGGCCTGAGGGAGCTGGGGGCGCACGCGGACACCCGCAGGGACAAGGAGGCTCCCGTGCACGCGGCCCGGCCTGGCACCCCGCTTCCCCAGGCCTGGACCTCGGGCTCGGCACAGGTAGGGTGTGAAGGGCGACGCATGCCTGATCCTACAGCCCAGGCGACGGCCAGTGTCCCCGCCCAGACCAGCTCACCCGAAGGCGGCTCCGCATCCTGGGGCAGAGCTCTGGGGTGGTGTGCAGGACGCCACTGCGTAGCCACGGTAACGGAGCGGCTGCCCTAGGCCTACTGCGGGGGAGACACGTACTCCTTGGGTACACAGAGTACCCGCTACGTGGTAGCCATAGTAACGCCTGGTAGCCATAGTAACGCCGCACTGACCCTACGCTTGGTGGCAGCGCTGCGGTGAATAAAGCAGGATATTGCTGGGCAGCTCAGGGTAACTCCACAGTCCTCGGTTCACGATCCTAGAAAGGCACCGCCACATTCCACGCAATAGTGACTACCACGCACAGTTACGGGGACAGGCAGGGAATGAGGGCGGGCTGCGTCCATGCACCAGCTCCCCGCGGAGACGAAAGTCATTCTGCACTGCAAATATTCATTAATAGAAAGAGAAGTTCGAAGAAAACACACAGCAACAGGCAAGCTACCCTAATTTCCTTTTATTTATTTCTTAATTTAATTTTTGGTACCGGGGATCGAACTTGGGACCTTGTGTTTTCGAGGCAGGTGGCGGCACCACCAAGCCCAACCCTAATTTTATTTATTTTTTTGGTACGGGGGATCGAACTCTGGACCTTGTGCTTGCGAGGCAGGCGGCAGAACCACTGAGCTAAATCCCCAGGCCTACCCTAATTTTATATTCTAAGTGACAGAACAATATTAATGGTAATTACACGTGACTTAGGAGTGTACAGCAACTCTACATTAGTTCTGGATCTGAAATGGTCATATTGTGTTAATTATGATAGAACCTTCCTGGGCCGGGGATTTAGCTCAGTGGTTTCGCCGCCTGCTGCACAAGCGCAAGGACCTGAGTTCGATCCCCGGTACCAAAAAGAAAAAAGAGAGAGATAATGTTAATAGTACCTTCCTTAGTGGGCACATAATGACAAATCTTAACCTTATACCCTAAGCGTCAGAGCCACATCAACTGTAACAGTGTATCTCTTGGTAGCACGCACATAGCAACAGATAAACTGTATTACTTCTACGCCTTAAATGATCATACTATTTTAACTACAATAGTACGTTATTTACTAGAACATAAGGACAGACCTTAACTTTCAGTCCTAAGTGACAGCGCTGGTTTTTGTTTTGCTTTGCTTTTTTGAGACAGAGTCTTGCTACCTAGTGCAGGCTGGCCTTGAACGCACTATGGAGCCCAGGCTGGCCCGTCACTCACAGCGATCCTCCTGCCTCAGCCTCCCGAGTGCTGGGGTGACAGGCGTGCGCCCCCACGCCTGGCTTGACAGTGCTATATTAACTGTAAGAGGCCCGGGGATTTAGCTCAGTGGTTTCGCCACCTCCTGCGCAAGCACAAGGACCCAAGTTCGATCCCCGGTACCCCAAAAAAACCCAAAAAACAAAAAACAACCAAACAAACTGTAAGAGTATATTACTTAGTAGCACGTAGCAACTGATAAACTACATTGATTCAGTACGTTACGTGATCACACGCACTGATTGCTCTAGTTTATTACTGAGCAGTACAGATAAGGGGCACGACTCCACGTCCCCGGAGACGGGGGCTGTAACCGCAATGGAGCGAGAGTGCCGTGGTCCTTAGTCCTGCACGGCACACGGCACGCGTCACGCGCTGCACTGACGCTGCCTGCGCGGTGGCCGTCAGGCCCGGGACGTGGACGCTGCGTCCTAAGACTGCGCTCCGCTCCCTGCCTCTGCACAGCGTGACGAACACCGGCCCCCGAGCCCCAGCGGCAGGGCACACGGCGGGCGGCGCGCGTGACCGACCTCCTGCACCTCTGTCCCCCCGGGAGGCCAGCAGGCCAGGATCCACGGGGCCGCGAGGTCGACGACCCCAAATACCTGGCCGTGCCGCTCAGGGGAAGGCCAGGAAGGGGGCCAGGGCCGGCGCAGCGGCGGCTACCCGGGGGCCGCGGACCCAGGGACAGGCGCCGCTTCCTCCTAGGTGACCCCCCCCGCCCCGTCACGGGTCCCCGATCCCCGATCCCAGGGCGCCCGCCCCCGCTCAGACGCCCCCTCCCCACGGGCCCGTGGCTCACGGCGTTGCTGAGGATCTCCTGGCGGCGTGGGGAGGCGCTGGCCAGCACCACGCGCTTGTGCAGCAGCTTCCCGAGCACCGGGGACAGCGCCATGGCAACGCCACGGGAACACGCGGGTCCCGACCCACGACCACGAGTGCCGAACGCGACGGAACCCTAGCCGCAGTGTGGCCACGCCCCCACGCAGGGCACGCACAAGATCCGTCCCCAGAGTGAAGCCACGCCCCACGCACGGCACGCACAGACTAATCCTATGAAGCCACGCCCCGCACGCAGCCGCCCCGGAAACCTAAACCTCCCGACAGTAAGCCACGCCCCGCGTGCAGTAGCCTAGGAAACCGACCTCTATGAAGCCCCGCCCCGCGTGCAGTAGCCTAGGAAACCGATCCCCATGAAGCCACGCCCCCCAAAAGCGCGTCCAGGCCCCGCCCGAGACCCCGCCTCCAGCCGGCCCCTCCTGACACCGGATTGGTCCAGGGCCCCCCGCCCCTTTCCCCGCCCCGCCCCGCTCTGCTTCCGGTAAACCGGGTGGAGGGTTTTGGGGGCAGTGGGACCGGACGGGGAAGTGAGGACGTGCCGAGGTGCCGGGCCGCGGAGATGAGGGCGTCCCCGGGGCGGGGAATTGGGGTCACCAGGAGAGGCGGGGGCGTGGGGATGGGGTGCCCGCGGCCAGTGGGGCCCGGGGTGTGCAACGGGGTCCCAGTGGGGTGTGCAATCAGGTCCCAGCGGGGTGTGCAACGGGGGTCCCGCCGTGGGAGAATGGGGCCCGCAGTCGCCGTGGGACACGCTCCTCTCTGGGGGTTGCAGGCCCCCAGCGAGACGTGGACCCCGGTCCCCTTCCTGCCTTAGTTTTTACTCTGAGGCAGAGTCTGAGTCAATTAATTGCCCAGGCTGGCTGGAAGTTGAGATCCTCCTGCTTCAGCCTCCCAGAGTGCTGGGATTATAGGAGGGCACGCCCACCCCCACTTAGTTTAAAAATAGTTTTGTTTTTTATTTTTTTTCTAAATAATTTTGGTTTTAAACCGGTACAACAAAGATTGTGCTTTCACATAGGTGAGGAATAACTTTCCTAGCTTTGAAAGTAGACAGCAAACACAACTTTAGTTTTTCGACGCAGGGCCTTGCTACGTAGCTAAGGCTGGCCTCGAACTCGGTCTGTAGCCCAGCTTGGCCTGAAACACAGTGATCCTCCTGCCTCAGCCTCCTGAGTGCTGGGACTAACAACTTTATAAACTGGGCCATACGTGAATTAAACTCTGTACACGAACAGTTGCGTCCCAAAGAGGTTGTTGAAAATCCAGAGTCAAAACCTTGGGTTCAATTCTGGAGCCCAGGAGGCTGAGACGGAGCGGTCCCAGGCCGGGCTCCCTCCACAGGCTCCAGAGAGACCCGCCTGCCTCTGCCTCCTCCTGGGCTGCAGGCGGCCCTGGACTGAGGTCTAGGGGGGCCATCTTTTGGGGCCACCGAGTCCAGCACCTGGAGCTGGGTCTGGGAATCTCCTCTACGATTTCCTCCCCTCTGGAGAGCCGAAAGGTCACGTTGCAGAGAAGCCACCAGGTGGGGCTGTAGGCCGTGGTTTCTACGGCCCGGATGCGGGAGGCCAGCTGGGGTGAAGCCCGCTCCTGTTCCTGTTCCTGTTCTTACTTCAGTGCCAGGGATAGCCAGGGAGGCCTGTTCCCCAGCGCTCTGGGAGGCTGAAGCAGGAGGATTGCAAGTTTGAGCCTGGCCTAGGGAATTTAGCAACTTAGTGAGACCCTGACTGAAAAAGAAAATTATTTTTAAAGGCTGGGGTGTAACTCAGTGTAAAGGGCCGGGGTTCAATCCCTGGTGCTGAAATAAATGAATGGGTAAATGCACATAGAAACGGAACACGGTTACGGGGTGCAGGCTGAGGTTGCAGTACAGGTGCTGGTGTGGAATGGTCAGATCTGGACAATGAGCTCGTCCGGCACCAGCACCGCTCAGTGTTTGTTGTTCAGAAAGCTCAACTGTCTCCCAGCTGTCTTTTAATATACCACGCATGCACGGCAGCTTTGGCCCCCAGCTGTGGAACACAACTCAGCCTTTAAAAAGGATGAGAAAAACAGAACCAAGATACTCATGTAATGGTACAAGATCCCCCCCCCCCAAATAAATAAAATAAAATAAAAAGGCCAAGAAATACTCAGGAGGCTGAGGCAGGAGGATCAATTGTTGGAGCCCAGCCTGGACGACTTAGCTGCTTAGCGAGACCTCTCAAAATTAAAAAAAAAAAAAATTAAAGAGGGCTTGGGATGTAGCTCAGTTGGAAGGCCCTGGGTTCCATCCCTAGTACCACCAAAGGGGTCTCAAAAAAGAATGAGATCCTGTTGCTTGTGACGATATAGCGAGGGTGGAGAGGATTATGGTAAACGAAATAAATGAGGCCAACGTTCATATGTGGAAGCCAAAGATTTTTGGTGTTTTTTTTGAGTGGTTTTTTTTGGGGTTTTTTGCCTTGAACTCACTATGTAGCCCAGGCTGGCCTTGAACTTGTGGAGATCCTCCTGCCTCAGCCTCCTGGTGCTGGGATGACAGGCGTGCCCACCATGCCCGGCAAGGCTCTTTTTTTTTTTTTTGGTACCAGGGATCAAACTCAGGACCTTCCGCTTTCGAGGCAGGCGGTGGCACCACTGAGCTATACCCGTGGCAAGGCTGTTAGCTTTAAAGGAATTGTTGTGTATGCTGTGGTAATCCAGCAGGGAGGCAGACCCGAAGGATAGTATTTATGTGGATAAGTCAACAGTAGAACATTGAATGTTTATATGTGATATCAAGTGATAGATTATATAAGGGAGACATTATGTGTAATTTTTTTTGTTGCAGTGCTGGGGATCGAGTGCAGCCTGGCATATGCTAAGCAAGTGCTCCAGCCTCAAGCCACATCCCAGCCCGCATCTGTAACTTTTATGTCCATGAAAGAGAATTGTATCCGTGTGCAATTACAATTATATATGATTTTAATAAGATATTAAATAGATCGATAAAATAAAATTATATGATTTTATACGACATGAAAGTGATCATATCACATAAAATTAAAAATTTTAGTTAAGATTGCATGTGGTGTAAAAGAGATTTACAGTCAGCATAGTGGCGCACGCCTGTCCTTGCAGACCTTGGGAGGCTGAGGCAGGAGGATCGCTCTGAGTTCGAGGCCATCCCGAGCTACCTGGTGAGTTTAAGTCCAGCCTGAACTATGTAGCAAGACCTTGCCTCAAAAAAACAAAAACAAATAATAAAAAAAGAAAAAAAGGGGAGATTTCTATTATATAAAATTAAAAATTACATATCATTTAAATGTAATATATATAATTTATATATAATGGCTATTATATATATAATAGACTAATATGAAAGATTGAATGATGCTATAACATTATAAATGATATATAATTCCATTGTAAACATGGACATGATTTATATGCAGTATAATTTACACATATAATGTGCACAGCACATATAATATAGTTTATATATAAAGCATATACAAAATTATGTGTTAAATATGTGCCATAAAAGACTCAAGGATTTATATACAATGTGAAAATTATAAATAATGTAAAATTTAAGTATAAACATAATTATACATAACAGAAGTATATTATACATAATATAATTATACATAATGTAATTTATGTACATAATACAAGTATATATAATATAGTTATATATAATTATACATTATATATAATAAAATTTATATAGAGATTTATATACAAAGGAAAAATATATTACATAAAACTGAAATGTAATAAAAGTATACATGATTTGCATACAACATAAAAGAGATTTGTATGGAGGCTATAACATACATTATATACGATTTAAATACAACATAAAATTCATCTTTTAAAAATTTTAGATAGGGTCTTTTTATGTGGGCCAGGCTGGCTTCAAACTCAGGACAATCCTCCTGCCACAGCCTCCCAAGTGCTGGGATGACAGGTGGGTGTATGCCACCACACCCAGCTATAGTTTATATGTAAAATCACTCACATATAATAGAGAAGAGAGCCTGTCATCCCAGCACTCGGGGGCTGAGGCAGGAGGATCTCTGTGAGTTCAGGGCCAGCCTGGGCTACATGGTGAGACCCTGTTTCAAGGAAAAAAAAAGATGAGTGGATGGATAGATGATGGACAGTGGATAGGCAGATGATAGATTTATAATTAGATGGCAAGTGGTAGGTAATGCTAGAGGATTAGGTGGTGCATGACAAATCAGTAGCTGACAGATGATAGACTGATCGATAGATGATGGGTAGAACAGACAAATGTTAGCCAGGCAGATAGTCTGGGAGAGCAGCTAGGCAGACACACAGATGACAGATGGATACCAGATAGATGATAGACAGGCAAGGCGGGTAGAGACAGGATAGATGACAGCAGACGGGTGGATAGGATGGATGGATAGCTAGATGACAGCTAGCTAGCTGTGGATAGATCACGGATCAATGAGCGGCACACGATGCGTGTTGGTGAGCCATGGATGACAGGCACATGGTAGCTCTAGGTAGATGGTCCATTGCAGATAGATCATGAATCGATGGATGATAGATGATGGATAGATGCATAGATGCATGACAGCCATAGATACAGAGATCGCAGGTGGGCGATAGATTGTAAATAGATTATAGGTAGGTGGATGATAGATATAGACAGACCACAGCTAGATGATCGGTTATAAATAGGCACATAATAGGTGATAAGAGCATAGATGGATACAGTGACACAAAGATCGTAGGCCATGGGCAGATGATAGGTCCTAAACAGTTATGTGATTGAGGATCGACAGGTAACCCTAGCTGCTAGATGGCAGGTTATAAGTAGACGGTCGGGGATATTTTTCCATCTTCTGAGGTCCCCTCCAATCTCCTTCGTCAGGGCACTGCAGTTTTCTTTGTCCAGGTCTTTCTCTTCCTCGGTTAGGTTAATTCCTAGCTGTTCCATTTTTCTGGGGGCTCCTGTGAAGGGTCATTGTTTTCATGATTTCTTTCTCCTTGAGTTTATCATGGTGGTACGCAAATGCTATTGACTTGTGTGTTGATTTTCTGTTGCCCAAGGAACGTAAACATGACATG